CTCTCTCTCTCTCTCTCTCTTGTCCGCTTCATTGAGGTGGTGGCCGCTGCGGCTCAAACGTGTCACGGCGCATTGGTGCAGTGTGGGAAGTCACCAGAGTCATGTGCACCAACCTGCATACAGTCCATGCCGTGCTTCACAAACTCCTTTGGTAAATGCCGTAGTGTGCGCAAGTCTGTGGTAAGCAGTGTCGCCTGCGGTCATCAAGCTGAAGCACTCGAAGACAACTTCAAACCAACGCTGTGTGCGGTATCTAGGCTTCGAAACCTTGCAGCAGATCGAGCTGGAGCAACAGCCGTCTGTGAGGAAGGAGGCAAGCTCATTTGCACCAAAGCCGAGGTGGCGACTGTCAAGTGTGCGGCATTTGATCGTTTGTGCATCGTTTGTGCCTGCAGCCGACTGCATCAAGTTGGCAAGTGTAGCGAGGGCTGCGAAATTCTGGATTCTAGATCCTCTGTCGACCTGGGCCCCCTTGTGCTTCAAAATGTGCAGTTTGTTTGGTACGTGGCGCTGTGCAGCATCCCGGCGCAGGGAGTTCGCCCTTCCGTGGACCAGAGCATCTCCTCGGGCTCGGATGTTTGCTGCTGCAAGGACTGTCTGGTGCTTAGTAGGGAACGGGGGAATGGATCCCTAGGATAGCCCCTTAAGGTCCCTTATTGTAGTCCCTATAACCCATTCCCCCATTCCCTACTAAGCACCAGACAGAGCAGTACGGGGGCGTTGATGAGCTCGTGAATGACTCGCAGATCTACCCCTACTGCCAGGCTTTGAAAACGTTCCGACCTAAACCCTAAACCCTAAACCCTAAACCCTAAACCCTAAACCCTAAACCCTAAACCCTAAAGCCTAAAGCCCTTTCTGGTACTACCCGGCCCCAGGGCCTCCCTCCAAAAGGGCGCGGTGCTGTTGGACGAGCAGTTGGGACTGCACCGCTACCGGAGACAACATGAACGGGGGCACCAACATCCCAGCCAGTGCGCATGCAATATACTGCCCGCACCAAGGCCCCAACCCAACCCCCGAAGGAACGGTGCAGGTTCCCGACACCTGGGAAGAGGTGAAGGGGAAGTGTTGCTGCAAGAAGAAGGTCCTCATTGGCACCTGTGACGTTTGGAAGATGCAACGAGGGGTGGAGCATCCTTTCTGGTTCAACGGCTACAGAAACTCGCAGGGACAACAAGAAGGCGAGTGCTGTTGGGCGGGTGATCGGACCTGCTGGCCTTCCTTGGACGTCTTCGGATCCCATTCAAACGGCGGTGACGAGGTCAAGGGTGATGCTCAACGGAAGCGGAAATGTCCATCGTTGATGCCCCCACGGGACCGTCAGGCTATTGGACGATGAGAGATTCGACAAGATCATGACACACCTGAAAACGAAGCTCGTGAGTATGCTCGTCGCAAAGGCAGTCTCGTTTGCCTGGGGGGCAGCGGGTGGAATGCTCGATGACCAATTGGTTGAGACCGTGGACGCGGCCAAGAAGGCTGCGGGCGAGGCTCGACAGGCTCTCGCCAAGCGTGACTGGGTTGCTGTTAAGGCACTTAAACCAAGCTATTTGTACGAGGAAACCCTGTTTCTACCATATGCCATATACTCTTACTATTTACTAGTAGGTCCGAAGAGGATACGATTTCTCATTAATTGAAACCTGTTTCAATGAAAGACAGTTTCAGAAGAGCATAAGAGTTTTAGTTTCTTCTGAACATGTCCTTTGAAGAACTAGTTAATATTAAACTGAAAGAGCCAAGAATCATAAACATCTAATTTAAATATCCCTAAACCCTGAACCCTAAACCCATATAATACAAAAAAAATCGAGCTTAGAGCATTTCAGGTAGGGAGACGCCGGTGGAGATGAAGCCCGGGCTCTTCGGGGCGGTTTTTAAACCGAAGACCTCTTCCGTGTGCCCTGAAACTTGGGGGTACTCAGAATTTTTTTTAAATATTTGGTTATTATAATCCTTAAGAAGCAGCGAAAATTATAAAATTTTTGCTATGGGTCTAAGTTCAGTATAGGAAACTCGACCCTGCTACGTCGGCCCAGAGCAAGGACAGCAAAGAACCCAGAAGTTATGGTGGGCCACCGGCTATGTTACTGGCAAGGTGCAAACCGAATGGATTCACGTCGTCGTACAACCCGAGTTGAAACGCCGCCTGTGGGTGGTCATGGACCCTGGCTTTGGGTTTAGGGTTTA